CTTAACCCTTGCCTGCCTTCGAGTTACTTGGGGTAGCACCGCTCTGCTGCTTGTCTCTCTGCCTTTACAGACGTACTCGTGCACAGAAAAAGGAGGAGATGAGTCTTGTGCTCCTGGTGAGCGTGGCACTGCTGGGGCTTGAGTGTGGTGAAATCCCCGAGCCCCCCGAGGCGGCGGCTGCGGCAAGCGCTGGGCACGGAGAATTACCGGAGGCAGGTGCGAGAGCTGCTCTCGCCTTGCACGGTTAATTAAAGGCATCAATTTTTCTTTGTTTTCTCCTGGCGCTTGCAGTTGTGCTGGGATTAATAAGGATCTGAAAGCAGGAGTGCCAGGCGGGGGGGATCTTCTGGGTGCAGCCTCGCAGCCCTTCTCCTCTTCGCTCCCGGCTGCTTCCCCTTCTGCCAGACCCGTGCCGCCACTCGTCCTGCCTGCGGCGGGACCTGCCAAGTTGTGCCTTGGGCTTCAAGGCACAACCTTGTGGTTCGAGGTACCTCTCGGCTCTCTGCTGGTTTCGCTGTGGCCGAGCAGCCGTGGCTCCCGTCGCATGTGCAAAACGGTGCTTTTAAAATACGTGTTTGGTTCCCTTTTAGCTGCAAGTAAATCCTTCTAAAATGTGAGCTAAGGAGACCAGAGTCTGGGAGACATTGGAAGCTGGCATTCTGCAGGGTCTGCCACTGTGTCCGATAAATCCTCTCCAGCGAGCGCGAGCCAGCCTGTAGCCAGATGTTAGACATTGCAGCCTGACGTCCTATTACCTCCTGAATGAATTAGCTGCTCCTCTTCCTCCCCTGGCCTCCCAGGTTAGCAACAAAATCCTGCTAAGTGGAGATTGTCTGTAAAATCACGGAATAACGGTGATTTCTGTGTGCCTGGAGGTGGCATCTCCTTCTGCCAAAAAAATAGTCACTTGATCCTCCAAGATCAGCCTTCCTGCAAAGAATTACCTTTTTGTCTGGGGATTGATGGTGGTCAGTACAGGTTAATTTAATAAATCACTCCTCCCGGGGCATGTATGCATAAAAACACACTTAAAACTGTGCCCAGCAGCTTGCCTGCATGGGGTGAAGGTGCTCTTGGCCTGGGGGAGGTATTGCAGCTACCTGCTAATCTCTCCTGTGTTTCCTTGAAGCATCCTTTCTCCCAGCGCTGGGGAAGTTGTTCCTGTTTCACTGTGTTGCACCGATGTAAGGGCTCGGGGGACCTGGGCGTGACTACATGAGAAGTGTCTGCAAGTCCCCTAATCTGCCCGGGCCCCGCTTTCCAGTCTGCCGCTCGCACTTGTCTCCGTTAGGGCTTGCCGAGCTCCAGCCACCCGCTCCCACCACCTCTGTGCCCCAGCCATGGTGTTGGGTCGGACTCTGCAAGTGGATTCCGGTGTGGGAGAGGGGCCGGGATGGTGTGGGAAGGGTAAGGCCATCCTGCTCTGCTCCAGGGACCTCCAAGGTTGGGGTTTGTTTGTGCTTCTCAGATGAGCGTGGCCGTCTGATCACTGACCTTCCTCTTCTCACCTCTCTTGGGCTGTAGCTTCTTCACCCTTTGTTTCGCCTCTCTTTGCTTTGACTGTAAGCCCTGGGACGAGCTGTATCTCACGTGCTTCTCCATCTGTAAAGTCTAGCAGGGAATCACAGAAACACTAGGTTGGAAAGGACCTTCAAGATCATCAAGTCCAACCATTGGAAGTGGCCCAGCTATCTGCTGGGAGGAAAAATCGTCATATTCAACCATGGATCTTCCTGCCTGATAAAGTGCCGTCTCCCGTGTTCGCATCGGGGCTCTCTGCGTCCTCATCTGCAGCGGCACAGCCACCCTCGTCGCTGCCAAAGGCTTTGCTGACAGCTGGGGCAGGCGCGTCGCCGGGCGGCCCGTGCCTCGGTTTCTATTTAAACTGATTAAACCTATCGACGGTATTAAATGAGTTTAATCTACTTAATTTGCCCTGTGGGCTAGCGTACTGGTAGATAGACCCAGCAGCCCGCAGAACATGTCGTACGCACGCGTAAGCAGCCGGGGGTGGGATGGGGTCCCGTGAGCTTGATTTTTCAGAGCTCTGGTTTTGGAAATGCCTCTCCTTGAAACTTGCAGGGTTTGACCTCGGGGAGGAATTGGCCCCGGAGGTGCACGTGACTAAGGTTGTCTAATGGTTTGAGGGCCAAATTATTTGGGAGAGGTGTAAAAAGAAGAGCCTTGAACGGGGTGGGGAATTAGCATCTGAATTTCGGGGAGGTGCATGCGCTAGGGAGAGGACTGACTGCTGTCTCTTGAGCTCTCCTGGAAGGAAGTGATGGGATGGGTGAACTTCTGGGTGTTGTCCGGGTGTCACCGTCCCTGTCGCTGCCGGCTCCACCACCCATTTGCCGAGATCCCTAAATTTGCTTCCTTTATTTGCACCACGTGGCTGACCCGCACCCCTGTTTGTAGCACTTCCAGAAGCATCTCTGGTGACTGGGTAACCACCTTGTACCCTAAAGACTCTTTTTTTCTCTCTGTCCTTCCCACCTGGGATCTTTTTTTTTCCCCTGATTGTGGATCTTTGGTGTTTCCATCCTGGGTCTATCACTGGGTTGAGACCTGAAAGGGAGCTGGGCTGAAGTTCAGAGCTTTACAAGGCAGCTTGAGTCTGATCCTAGCTGCCTCTGCTTGGCTTACCAAGATTTATCACCCTATCGTGCCAAGCTCCGGGCCGACTCTGCCTTCTCTGACCTGTGCGGGTCCTGCCGGCCCCTGGCTGCTGCCTGCAGCCGGTGGTGCAGATGTGCCCCTCGCTAGCGAGAGCGCACGGTCCGGGGCAGCGTGGATGTGTCTCACTGCTCCGTGCTCTTCCCTTTCCTCCCCAGGGAGCTGAAACTGCGAAACTACGAGCCTGAAGATGAAGAGCTGAAGAAGAGGAAGGTGCCCCAGGCCAAACCAGCCTCAGGTGGGTGTAAGTGGGAGCGTGGGAGGTGAAATGAGGCAGCACGAAAGCAGAAGCGTTGCCAGCGGTTGAGCTGGTGCCTGTGGTGAGGGAATGAGGCAGCACTTGTGGTTGGGAGAACAAATAAAACAGCACAGGACTCTGCATCCAGCCAGCATGCTGCAAAATGGGTGGGTTATACCTTTTCTTTCCAAAAATGAGGTGGCTGGGAAACCTCTCTGTTGCTACTCGCTCCAGCTCAAGGTGGAAAAGCTGCTGGGCTGTATTCTGGTAGCAGCTCGCTGGTGTGAGGGTGGTAGGTCCCAGGAGATGAGCGTCTGCAGCCCTGGGGGGAGCTGGCATGTCTGAGCAGCCGTGGTGGGAGTGCTGGAGCTCTCCCGCTGCCGCTCGGCGAGCGTGATGCTTGTGGACCCCGTTGCTTCACCCCCTCTCACCCGTGGGGACCGCACAGTGGGGGGTGTGTCTGAGCACACCGAGTCCAGCCCCAAACCAAAGGGTTGATACTCAGAGGAGCGGAGCTGGAGGATTCTCAAGGAGATTCAGGCTGGTTTTTGTTTGAATTACCTTTAAACAAATATTAGTCATGAGTCCAGGGCGTTCAGTCTGCTATTTCTTAGCACTGAACCTCTGCGCAGCTCTTGAGAGGGAGGTGAAAGGTTCCCTTGAACTTGAAATATTGAGACCTCCTGGAATAGATCTTTTTAAAAATGCCCTAAATAAAAAGGCTGCCTTTGGGAGCACGGCAGAAATCTGGTAGGTGGGAATGCTGACACTGTGCTTTCTTTATCCTTTTGTAAAAGTTTAAAACGTCCCCTGACTCTTCCCGGTCGTCTGGTTTGGAACTGGGAACAGCAGTTTCCAGTAAAACTTGTGCTCTCTGCTAGCCCTTCTTTGGAACTGGCTGCACCTCCCGTGTCTGGAGTAACCAGCCTGTCTGTCCTTGGGCACTTCGTGCAGGGGCTGGGGATGGAGGAGGAGAGGAGCTGCGACTCGGAGTGGATTGATATTAAATGTGCCTTTGGGCACATCCGATTGCTGGAGCAGGATTCACCCCTCGGGGGTGTGCTCCCCTCCTTGCACAGACCCCCAGGTTGAAGGATGGAGGGCTGTTTTCTACGCGTGCTTTGCTCTTATCCCTGGTATCTGCAGACCTTTACGTAAGGTCTGGGCTGGAGCTTGATTCCTCCAAGGTGTCTCGGGCGGTGGCCTTGTAAATGAGTCACAGCGAGTGAAATTCCAGTTTAAGCACCGGCGGAGCAGCTGCTCCCTGCAGATCTTACGAAAAGAGGACTTGAACCCAGCAGACCCTTTGCTGCCGATGCTGTTCGTGGCGTTTAATGGTTGTTGGGTTTGCATCATTTTCAGATGATTTTTAGGAGTTTCCGAAAGGATTTGGGTGGTGGAAGGATGTGTGTACCCACCGGTATGTACCGCGCTCTTAAGGCAAAGATGTTCAAATGGGCTTTTATAAAAGCTTTTGTGAACCAAACCCAGAGCTGTGGTGGGTTTCGCTGTCCCGTTGGTGTCCTGCTGCTGCACCCAGCACTGATGCTGGTCCTGTTTCCCCATCTAGTGGAAGACAAGGTGAAGGACCAGCTGGAGGCCGCCAAGCCAGAGCCCATCATCGACGAGGTGGTACGTATATATTCAGAGCTGCATCTGTCTGTGTCCAGGCTTGAACCTCACCTGCAGCTCTCACTGGCTGTCTCCTCTTCCTCCCTAGGATCTGGCAAACCTGGCCCCCAGGAAGCCAGACTGGTGAGTGCCTGCCGAGCCCTGCTCCTGGGAAAGGGGGGTTGGCGTCAGCGGTGGGTTACCGTCACCTCGAGGTTGTCCAGGTTGGGTTAAAAGTGCTAGAAATGAGAAACCCTGCCCTGCTGTTGAGGGAGACAGAAGACATGGGGCTGTCCTCCCTCTTCCTGCTTACACCGAGACGCCACTGATCCCTTTGGGGTGCTTGCCACCACGGTGGCCTCAGTGACAAGGGATGGTCTGGGCATTGGGTTGGTTTGCCCATGAGCTGCCCTGGTGGCAGACACACGCTCTGCTCCGTGGTGCTCGTAGGAGACAGAAGGAGTTTCTCTTCCACTGGAAAAGGTGTCACGTGGCCCCTGCCTGGGGCGAGGATTTGTTCTGACATTGTCACTCTCCTCCCCAGGGATTTGAAGCGAGACGTAGCCAAGAAACTGGAGAAGCTGGAGAAGAGGACGCAGAGAGCCATCGCTGAATTGATACGTGCGTTGTGGTGCCGCGGGGATGGCGTGTGGGGTCACCACTTGTTCCAGAGGGATTACACCATCCTCACTGGGAGCTTGCTGGGCCTTGCTCTTGGGCCAGAAGGGGACTGGTGGAGCTTGATCCCCTTCCCAAAAGGGTCTGGGAAGCTGTCGGTCGCAAGTAGCTTCCCTGAGGCCACACGCACACACGGCTTGTGTGGCAGGGAAGGATGGCTTGTGGGCTCGGAGGCTGCAGTTCAGGTCCTCCGCCGCGTAGGTTCCCCGGTACAGCTGGTTTTTGCTAAGCCACTGCTGTTTCTCACTTGCAGGAGAGCGGTTGAAAGGGCAGGAGGAGGAGCTGGCGTCCGCTGTCGGGTCAGCAAAGCAGGAGGGAAGTGACTCCGACTGAGAAGGTCCATCCGGCAGCCTCGGGCGTGGGCTCTGCGGATCTGCCTCTGCCAGCACTGCCGATCCCGTTGCTCTCAGGTAGAGGCACCTTGCCGGCACACGCTGCTCACCAGCGCTTTGCCAGAAGCCCATGAATCCCACCATGCCTGAGGGAGAGGGACATCTCCAAGGAGCCCTGCTGTCCTCTCTCGGACTACGGCTGGCAGTTGAGGAACACTTCATAGATAGCTTTTTGGGACCACGGCAGGCTGATGGGAGCAGGACAGACACCCATGTTAGCTTGAACCTAGTCTGCAGGACTCAGAGCAAGGAAGATGTGGACAGAGGGCTGGTGCCAGAGAAGGTAGATCCAGGCTAACTCTCCTCTCGCTTGCTGGGTAAGCAAGAAGATGGCCACACAGCCAACAGCAGCCTTTAGAGAGGCGCGACCATTTCCCCAGGGACCGATGCTCCTGTTCCTGTGCAAAAAGATGCCTTTTCCCAGGTGCTTCTTTCTGCAGAAGAGCTGGTGTAACTGCCACCTGGGGCACAACGAGGTCTCTCCCTCTGGAGAGCTGGCTGTGAGTATTTGGGAACAGCCATGGTCAGAGCCAGCACGTGCAGAATAACTCTGGAAGGGGCTGTGCGCCTCGGGACCTCTTGGCTGCTCTGCGTCCAGATGAGGTTAACGTGGGGTTTGTCCTGTTCCTTGGAAGTTTCCCGACCCCCCAGCCTGTACAGCATGTACTGCTCCTCTATATGTTTTATAATTGGCAAAGTTTGTTGTTAACAAGTCTTTTTATAATAAAACAGTCCCACAGCAGCAGCAGGTGTCACTTGTTCTGCAGAGGACTGGGTGGAGGCAGCTCACGTCATCTCCCTGATATCTGTGGGGACTTCAGACCACTGTTCACTGTCCCCTTCGCTTCCCCGGGATGGGGAGCAGCGGGCTTTGGTTTGTATAAGTTTGAGGTGGCCAAGCTGTAGCTACAGCAGGTCAAGTACAACTCCTGGGTCGGAGCTGTGCCGTGGATGGGGCAAACTGGGGTGATGCCAACCCTGTGCCGCCGGAAGAGGTGAATGGGTGGGATGCCGCAAAGCTGACGCTGCATTTTCCCTGGGAACCTTTGCTGTGGCTCTTGGAGATATTGCAGGATGGCCAGACCTGGTCGTATGGGCTCCTGAATTTGTGTTTCGTTCAAAAGTGGTTTTGTCCTGAGGTAAAACGCCTGGTGCGTACGGCTCTGACAGCGGTATTTACAGAAGAGTTCACCGGTGGTAAAAATAGCCGTTGCTGTTAACGCACACATCCTGCTGCTTTTAAAAGCCTGCTGAAGAGAGCTGCTGGGGGGTAGAGGTCCTTCACGCGGCGGGGGGGTGGTGTTCCTGCCTGCTGGAGCCTTGGTGGCTGGAGCTGCCATCTCAGATTGTCACCAGCTAGGTCCCCACGCAGGACGAGATCGGTCCCAGCCGTGCTAAATACAGGCTGATCGACGCTTGTCCCTCTGCCAGGAGCTGTTGCTACTGCCTGCTGCTCGTGGTTGCACATGGTGAGGATCCTTGAGGGGCTTTCCACCTGCCAGAGCCCCATT